TGGCCAGTTATTACCATAAGTTCATTCAGGACTTTTCTAAGATTGTTGTGCCATTGACTAAATTGACTTGAAAGAACATCAAATTCCAGGGAAGGAGAACAACAAGAAGCTTTTCAACTATTAAAAGATCACCTTTGCAGCGCACCGGTATCAACTCTACCAGATGGATATGAAGAATTTGTGGTTTACAGCGATGTTTCAAAGTTAGTTTTAGGATGTGTTTTGATGCAGAGAGGAAAAGTGATTTCTTATGCATCAAGACAATTGAAAGATCATGAGAAGCAGTATCCAACCCATGACATGGAATTAGCTGCAATGGTGTTTGCTCTGAAAATTTGGAGACATTATTTTCTGGGAACAAAGTGTTAGATTTATACTGATCATAAAAGTTTGCAACATTTGTTTAGCCAGAAAGAGTTAAATATGCGACAACGTCAGGGGATTGAATTGGTTAATGACTATGATTGTGAAATCCTCTACCACCTGGGGAAAGCTAACGTGGTGGTTGAAGCTTTAAGCAGGAAAGAAAAGAGTGGAACCATTAAAGCCATGGCAATAAAAATGTATTTGATCCCTGACATTCTTAAAGAAATTCAGAGATGTCAACAAGAAGCTATGAAAGAAGAATTTTTTAAGGTAGAAAGGTTGGGTAAGATGATTTCAACCTTAGAACAGAATGACGAAGGACTAATGTGCTTTCAAGGGTGAATTTGGGTACCATGTTTTGGAGATATCCGAAACACTATATTAAATGAATGCCATAAATCCCGATACTCTATTCATCCAGGCACCAATAAAATGTATAGAGATTTGAAACCATTTTATTGTTGGCCCGGATTGAAGAAAGACATAGCTAGATATGTGGAACAATGTCTGACATGTTTACAAGTTAAGATTGAACCTCAGAAGCCGTATGGAAGTCTTCAATCTTCAGAGATACCCGTATGGAAATGGGAACACATTACAATGGATTTCGTCATGAAATTGCCTCGAACTCCAAAAGGGTATGACGCGATCTGGGTAATTGTTGATCGTCTATCTAAATCTATGCATTTTCTGCCAATAAGAGAGAAGTACTCTTTAGAAAAGATAGCACAGATTTACATTAAAGAAATTATGACCAGACATGGTGTTCCATTATCTATTATTTCTGATAGAGATAGTCGGTTTACCTCAAAATTCTAGGAAGGATTGCAGAGTGCCTTGGGGTCTGAAATTCGACTAAGTACAGCTTATCATCCGCAAACTGACGGGCAGAGCGAAAGAACTATCCAGACTCTCGAAGACATATTGAGAAGTTGTATTATTGACTTCGGGGGATCGTGGGAAAATCATTTGTCGTTGATAGAGTTTGCATATAACAACAGTTACCATTCCAGCATCCAAGCAGGACCGTATGAAGTGTTGTATGGACGTAAATGCCGAACGTCGTTATGTTGGAACGAGCTGGGTGAAAGACAGCTGACGGGTCCTGAAATTGTACAAGAAACTTCTGAGAAGATCGAACAGATCCGTGAAAGAATCAGAATAGCACAAGATCGCTAGAAAAGTTATGTTGATAATCGTCGAAAGCCGATTGAATTCTGTGTAGGTGATTTTATGATGTTAAAAGTTTCGCCATGGAAGGGTGTCGTCAGATTTGGAAAGAAGGGTAAACTCAGTCCAAGGTATGTGGGTCATTCAGAATATGTAAGCGAGTTGGGCCAGTAGCATATCAGTTAGAGCTGCCAGAAGAACTGAGTCTGATTCACAACATTTTTCATGTATCAAATATGCGGAAATGTTTAGCTGATTCGAGTTTAGTTGTACCATTGCCAGAAGTTAAATTAGACAGTAAGCTAAACTTTGTGGAAACACCGGAAGCTGTTATTGACCAAAAGATCAGGGTGTTGAGAAATAAAGAGATAAGTCTGGTTAAGGTTCAATGGAAGTTTCACAAAGGACCAGAAGCGACATGGGAATTAGAGTCAAAAATGAGATCAGAATACCCTTGGCTCTTTAATTAAAGGAATTCTGGGACAGAATTCTTTTGAGGGGTGGATAATGTGATAACTGGATCTTGGTTTTCACCTGAGGTAAATAATATGTGATTATTTGTTATGTGTTTCCTGACAGCATGATAAATTATTATATTTAATCATGCTAGTATGTGAAATGTGTATGCATTAAGTATGTGGGCATAATTTTATACATGATAAAATA